GAAAATATTACAATATTAAAGAACTGTTCTTGTTAATTTGATGAAAACATTTTAAATTTCCAGTGCACTCACATCAGAATAACTTATAGATTTGTTGTTAGARTAATCGATTAATCAAAAAAATAATCGTTAGATTAATCGATTAGAAAATAATCGTTTGGTACAGCACTACAATTTTAAGTGGCATGCATTAACGTAGGGGGATAACCTCTGCAGTGCTGTCAGGATGGGTTAGTGTGGGGAAAAATATGAAAAAAAAGGATGCACACCCGAGGGGGGCGGTGACATGAATGAGCACATATTCACAGACGACTGATGCAGCCTTTGTAAAGCTATGAGGAGCAGCAATGGACAAAATACGAAATGGATTTGGCCTGCRGCTATTTTCCATTATAGCGCTGCAACCACGAGAGCATGAAAAAAGGACAATTAGGGGGCAGCACTTAACTGTAAAGCACYAATAATATATCTGATTTTTGTATCACTTTGAGGCCCATTAGGAGGGAAAAGGACAAAGCGAGTAATGGAAAGATGCTTACCTTCACAAACACCAGCCCTCTCACCGTCTTCAGAAGCAACGCGGCTCCCATGGAGATGACATAAACAGTTGAGTAATACTGAATATGAGGGTTGAGCCTCATGCTGGTGCTCATCAATGTTTCGTTCCCCGAGATTAATGATGTGTTCTGAGGGCAGATGGAACAACAAATTACAAAGCATGAGGGGRAAAAAAATGGAAACACTCCCTGTTTGCCTTTTAATGAAACTGAGAAAAGCACACTTTGGCTTCGGCAAAAAGTACATTAAAATCAGTCAGTCTGGTGACGTTTACTATTCCAAGCACATCCCTCAACGGCGCTGGCTGCCTGCTTTGCCGCGCATCTGTTTCTCAGCCGCTTGTGCTCGTTTTTAATTAAGTTTACTGAGATGCTGTTACTTTTTTAATCATGCACATTCAGATTAATGCTCAGTCTGCTGCCACAACTCACTGAAGCAAAGTAGTTATTTTTCTTTTGGGAGCCGAGCACRCACTAAAGAGAGGCGTCCTTTACATTGAAGCAGGATCTTCTCCCAGCTTACCCCGCTGCCCTGCCTGATCCAGTAGCTTAGCCACCAGTTACTGAAGGCTATGCTGCCTGTCGTCAAGAGGAAGAAGAGAGCGTTGATGACGAAGACTACTGGACCTCCTGCTGCTTTGATGTATGCTTTATACACAGGCCAGGCGACTGCACCGGAACCTTTTTCTTCAGCTTTCATCAGTTGCTCTGAATACGAGACAGGAAATCAAGAAAAGGACTTTACTTCTGAAACAAAATAACAGTCATTCCTGTGTGTATAATAATAATAATAATAATAATAATTATGATAATAATAAAATGACAAGCTTTCACACCTCTGTTCTTGCTTTCCACCTTTGGTTTGACCTTGACAACATCAGCAGCACCGTCAGCCTTTTTTGTGTCTTCCTTTCGCTGTTTGTTTTTTAAATTTTCTTTAACCAGATTCTGCAAGACACAAAACATCCTCAAATCAGAACAGCCTTAACGGCACCCTGAATTTAAACAGAGCTGTAAGCGCTGGAGTCTTTTCTCGGCTCACCGGTGAATCAATTCGCACATAAATAATGAAAGGCCTTGTATATATTAACATTTCCCTGCTATTGGGGGCCCGTCTATCTGCTCTCATGAATTATTCAGCCTGTAATGTTCAATGTTACAGTGTAGCGGGGCCAAAGATCCTTTATTCAAAAGAGCTGTCTTTGTTCCTCGTGTGCCCCTGGCCTTACCTCCTGTTGCATGCTGTTGAATAGGGTGGCATAGTCACGCTCTTTACCCATTAGATGTGCATGGGTGCCGTGCTCGGCAATCTGCCCGTCCTTCATCAGGATCACATCATCACACTCGGGCAGGAACTAAAAATGGAACAGACCGTTTTTTTTAAAGGCAGAATGTCGAGGATCATATTTATAGACATTTTTGAGTCATATAATTTTGAGCAGTAAATATTCTATTTAGGGAAGCAAATTGCAGCCGATATCGATATCCGATATTATTATTGGCATTATGGCCGATAACCGATAGTTACCAGTATTACACAAACACACAAATTATTTATATGCATATAAGCACAAATACACTTTTTTCGATACCGTAAATAAACGACCAGACCTCTGACATGGCTCTCTACTTTAGTTATTACTGGCTGTGCAGCGTCACTAACTCTATTATGATCAAACAGATTCCACACGACCAACCATTTCCCCTCCCGAAACAGAGACACAAAGCTAAAAGTGGGAAATTAATATCAGATGTTAATATCGGCCCAGTTTTACTTATTCTAAAAAATGATTGATATCAGCCGATACAGATCTTATAGACAATATATCCTGCATCCCTGATTCTATTAGTAGATTCATTTTTGGTTTAGAACAGGATGTTCTGTGAATTTAGGAAGTTAAAGCAACTAAAAAAAACAAACAAAAGCTGGGCATAGAATTTTTTTTAAAATCACGGTTAATCTGGATAATTTTTTTGGGGGGAACGATTACTCTACTATGGCTGAATGTGTAGGTTTGTATGTTGCAATACACTATGTGTGACATACTACGTACATTTTTATTGTGTTTTCCACAGAACCCTCCCTCCGTTTGTTACGTTGGTTTTAAATTTAAGTGATATTTTGGACTCGAACTTCTCCGGTGGTAAGACAGCTCGGTGTTGTGGCGCGTACAGATAATTTTACTTCCTTCCAGTCCGCCTTCAGGAAGAGTTTAAAAATAAAAATGACACAAAGAATCCAGGGACTTCCGCCATGTTTCTGTCTGCCATGTAACGGCTCAACGTCAAAGGCTCTTATTGGTTGAGGCATGCAGTGATGCTCATCTAAAGCCAATAATAATCAAGATACCACCCACACGCTGCGACCACTGGGTTTGTGTGTGTGTTTGTGTGAACAGAGATAAATATAAATAAATAACTGCTTTAATGCACATTAAGAAAATTATCGCCATTAACGTCAAAGTGATAATAACGCATTAACATTCCCATACATTAAAAAATAACATAAGTAATTTATAGTTTCTAACATTGGAAATTTTACAGTTAATCCTGACCTGCAGCTGGTGTGTTACAAAGAGCACCGTCTTCCCCTTAGCTGCCCCTCGAATGGCTCTGTTGAAGATATGGGAACCCACACAAGCATCGACAGCACTGAGCGGGTCGTCCAGGAGAAGCACGGGCCGCTCGCTGTAGAGCGCACGAGCCAGGCTCACTCTCTGACGCTGCCCTCCGCTCAGGTTGGCACCCCGCTCCCCAATCTAGAAAACAAATAAGTGCTTGATGGCATTTGGGAAATCAAAACTCACAGCTGTGATAGCTTGGAACTGAAAAGCAAAACAAAAACAAAAACAAAGAACAAACCTCTGTCATGTCTCCATATGGAAGCTCTGCGAGATCTTGCAGAAGGCAGCATGCTTCCAGCACAGCGTTGTATCTGGTGAGGAAAAATATGAATCAAACAAAACACAGAAATCCTGTAACTAACCACGTTTAGGAAAATTTTGGGTTTTGTTTTTTTTGTTCATGCAAACAATGATCTTACTTGTCTGAGTCATACGCATTTCCAAACAGGATGTTCTCCCTTAATGAGTCATTAAGAATCCAGGCATGTTGGGATACATAAGCAAAGCCACCACTTACAGCCACTTTGCCTTCTACTAGAGTCATCTGCAACACAAAAACACAAAGACGGACGCAAACGGAATATCAAAACCGTAGGTTGTTCAGTAATTCAGTATGTGAACAATGCAGGGAAAGCTGTCTTTGTTCTGTTTCAAAAAGAAAATTAAATGGAGAGTATTGATGAACTGAATCTGACCTGTCCAAGTAAAGCAGACAGAAGAGAGCTCTTTCCACTCCCGACACCTCCACAGATTCCAACCAGAGAACCCTTAAAGAGAAATCACATAATGCAGGTTGGAGCTTCTTTAAATATGTGCAAACCGTATTCCTGATTTTGCACGTTTAGTTTGTGTTACCCTCTTGATTCGCAGATTAATGCGGTGTAAGGTCTTGTGCAGCGGCGGCCGGATGCTCTGAGTGGAGGAGATGGTGCTTTGTGGGCTCTCCTGCTCCATGTTTGTAAGGAGGCTTTGCCCGTTGGGGCCATCTTTGTTTTCCTTGCTGCTTTCTGTGGAAATGTACAGGCTCAGCTTCTCCCTGCGCAGCACACGTTTGATCCCTCCGCGCTTCTTGGGAGGTGGGTTGGACTTCGTAGCCGGCGAGCTGGCCTTCTCCCAGGCCAGCGTGGCGTCCTGAAACTCCACAGAATTACTCGGGTCCTCGGTTTTTGCCAAAATCATCTCTCTGTCGGTCATCATGAAGAGCCTCTGTGGAGTCGTGCAGGACGGATTAGACGTTTAATTTTGACTACGCAATGTGATGAGAAAACTTTCAAAATTTATTCAACGTTCTGCTCACAAAAAGGAAAGCTGTCTTTTCTTTCATGGATGATTAAAATCAATCCAGGAAAATCTGAAAGTGTGGTTTAACATGCTCGACGTTATGTAATGACATTCTGCCAGCGCAACCACAAGTGAATTAGAGAGCCTAATTCTTAAAGTACAGTCTGGCCTCTTCTTAAGCTCATCTGTATCTTATTATTCAGTACATGTGCACAATCTCGCAAGAGCTCAAGTCTTTTGGTACATCCTTGGCAGAAAATCATGCTTACTTAACCCTGGCTGGCTCTGTGAAACTTCTCCCACCAGCAYGCGACTTTTTACCATGTGTTGGGAAACTAAATATCAAAAATGCCAGCATGCGGTGTGGGTGGAAAGGTCTTTAGCAACAGGATCACCTTTTCATCTGCTCTGAGCAGGTTAGAACCTGCTTGCCAATTCTCATACTGTGTTCACATTCAGAGTCTATTTTAGTTTGCTGACCTATAAAAAGTGGATTTAATTTAACAAGACAGATAAAGTTTTTAACAAGGCTGGAATGTCAAAAAATCTGTAATGTGTCAAAACACAAAAAGACSATCTTGAATGACATTAAATACAAACTGCTGTTATTTAAAATGGAATATATATATTTAAGAAAGCTTTCTGTGTTTCTCACCTGAAATCTTTTGACTGCAACAGCTCCTTCTGACAGCGACCTCACAGCCAGAGGCGTGACTTTCAGAGCAAACGTCATGGAGTTGAAAACAGCAACTACGGTGAAAGCCTGGTGTGAGATGTGCAGGGATGGAGAAAGTTATTTGCCAATATATAGACATTATATATATTTTTTCTAGCTTCTGAATGTAAAACCACTCAGGTTTGTGACAAGTTAAAATCAAAACAAGCAGAAAAATGGAACAATCCGTGTATGGTTGGTTCTTTGGTTTTTCAGATTAAAAAAAATACTATAATTTGTGCTTTTTTACTTTTTATGTTTTAAAACTAAATTTAAAACATTATAATTGCAGAAATAAAAAAGGGTGAGTTTTAGTTTTTATTTTATTTATTTATTTATTTCATTTTAATTTTTTTAGTGCAGTATTTTGGATCATCTGGTGGAACAGGAAATCATAGTCTGAACTCCTGTTGCATTGTAATTTCACTTCACACTTTAAAAACCAAACTTTATGAAATTTTAATCAGGTTGATTTTACGTTTTTACATTTAGATTTTAAAAACAGAAAAACCAAAGTACAACACGGTTCTCTTTAAACACACATATACATACATATACATACATACACACACGGATTTGGTACAAATACAGTATATATAACTATGTAAAATATAACTTTTATAGGGATTTATAAGACATTAATTTAGCCCAGTGGTTCTCAAAGTTAAGGTTGTTATATTGTTTAAAACAATTTAACAGAATAAACCTTTAAAATATGYGAAACACTGCTTTAATATTTCCACTTTAAAACAGTAAATAGAGTCTAAAATGGGTGATTATGGAGACTTTTATTGTTGAAATACCTCAGCTGCAGTCAGGTCATAGCCCAGCGCCATATGAAGGGTAAAGGTGCACACGCTTGCTATCACCACGACAATTGGGGCCACGCCCACCGTGAGACTCTGGACGACCCCAGCTCTCTCCAGGATCCCCCTCTCCTCTGATCGCACCTCTGTAGAGGAGAGGTAAAAAAAAAACAGAGAGATGACTAAGAGAAAAGAAATGCATAAAACCAAAGTGAGGGTTGCGTAACTCCCAAAGTGTTCTCAGACAAACAGTCAATCAACAGCATCACCACAGGCATTTAGGAGTGTGCATAAAACAGAYACAAGAAAAAGACAGCTAGAGCCTCCTTACTGAAAGAGGCTTTAAAACCTGCTGAGCTTTGATAACTCTCCAAGCCTGATGCCCAAATACTGACCCCTTTGACCATGTTTGTATCTTTTAAATGCATGTGCTGTGGCTGCTTTTTTAACCCAGAACACTGGATGCAAACACGGGAACAAAAAGCTCAAGCATCTTAAGCCTCAACAACACAGCATGTGAAATATGAGAACTCCCTCCTCCCGGTGCATCTTATTCCCCACATGGATTCCCTGTAGATAGTTGCTGTGTGAACTACAAAGAATGAGTCATACATCCTGGGCAAAAACCCTGATCAGCCATGTAATAGAGATACTAATTGAAAGGAATGGCTCTCTAACCCTTCAGGCTCATTGGTAATTAAACTGAATACCAATTATTTATCACTGTAATGGCTTATCACAGAACAGCAGTAGAACAGAGTCCCACCTGATTCATTCAGAGAATAAGTGGGAAAAAAGATCCTTACTTACGACAGCGGGGCTTATATTAAAGAAAGGCCACTGCTTCAGAGATAAGTACAGCTTTGACAGAAATCCAAAGTATCATAGGGCCTGAAACTCTCTGTAAATTAACCTTGAAGACAATGAATTTATGGTGATGATTTTGCCCTTTTTCTCCCGTCAGCAGATTATTTGCAGGTGACAGGTTATCAGACAAAGTGACCCAATTTTCTCAGTGTATCGAGAAACAGAAAATCACAAAAGCACTAAAAAGAATTAGGTTCTTGAGAAAATTGTCAGCTTTTCATGACAAAAGCTGAGCATTCCTTGAAGTTGCTGTGCAGCTTCCATGACTGCTTTATGCTGAGAGATGATGATGTTAAATTGTAGATGTCTCCAACGATTCCTTTCTGATAATTTTCTTAAATTTGTGCAGTAAATACTGTTGTATTTAGCTGACAGATCACCTTGATCTTCAGCAACAGGCCATAAMAGACATTGTATGTATTGCTGAGTCACTCACTGTGAATGTTCTGTGCAAAGGCGTCTTCCCAGCAGTACATCTTGATGAACTTTATGCAGGTCAAGATCTCGTTCATGAGCCTCACGCGCCGGTCAGTGACCGCCACGCACTTCTTGCGGAAATACGCCGTCAGCCTCGACGCCAGCATCTGTCCAGACGGCAACARGAGGAAATGGTGACAAAATGAGCGGCTTGAGAGGAAATGAAAGCAGACGTGATCCCGTTAGCTTTGCTGCGTGTCTGTTGAGAGTACCAGAATGAAAAAAACCACTTTTTTCTCATTTACACCACATTACCTGGCTGCCAGGCTGTGCCTCAGGTGTAATTTGTTTAGTTTGAAAATAACAGCTGTAAAACTGAAAAGCATTTATTAGCAACAAAATGATGCTGCTTTTAAAAACTGCTGATGGGATCCTTTTATGGCTTGAATTATCATTTTGAACAGATGACTAAATTGTTTTCTACAAACTAAATTTTATTAAGAAAATAATGAGTCAGCAACAACAACATTTGCCACTGAATACTATCTTCAATTTGGTTGTCTGTGCATAAATATAAAAACATTTATTCCTTTTAAGAATCACATCACCTAATGCCTTTCAAACCAGTTTTAATTTAAGATGGTCGCCATAGCTACAGCTCATGAAATGCGTTAAGCGCAGCATGCTGCATCCAAACTGCCGAAATCGGATCATATAGTTTCACGACAAAAATGGCATCATTCTGTCCGCATTGTCGACATTTTGGCACCTTCTTGTCACAACCAACAGGCCAAACTCTTTACCCACTCCACATAAGAACTTATTGTGTGATTGGTCAGACGTTCGTGGGAGTGTTTGTTGTGCTGAAAGTGCTCGGATGCTGCATTTTGCTTCAACCACTCGCTTAAAAAAAAAACTACTTGCTTCCAGAAGCCATGTTGTAGACTACCTGGAAAAGACATTTATAAAGAGAGTTAAATGGCAAGAAACTCATGGATGGAGATAAAACAGATGTGTTTTTTTTTTTTTTGCACGGAGGAATCCGTTTGATTAAAACTGTGGAGCTTTAACTGTGATAGAGTTGTGAACAAATAACGGTGGGTTACGGGTCTTGGATTTCATTTCCGCATTGTGGACTCCAGCCGAAAGAAACCCCATGCAGTGATGTCTACCGCAGCAGGAGGGGTTTCCCAGGAGCTCGGCACAATGTATCAGGGGCTATGGACGGTGTGTGTGAATTGCCACCTCTCGCTACCTAAGCAGAGCTACAAGCCTCATCAAGGACCCATCCCACCCCAGCAATCACCTGTTTAACCTGCTAACCTCGGGGCTGATGGTACGGCTCACACAAAACCCGAACAAAGAGGCTCGGAAACAGCTTCTTCCCAAGAGCCATCAGGGGACTGAGCATTAAAAACCGGAACTGAACAATAAAATAAAATAAATGGCAACCAACATTCAATTTTTCGACCCTTGTGCAATACAAAATGTGTGCAATATATCAAGTGAAATATTCTCAGGAACATCTCTAATGTGCAATATAACAAGCAATGTAGCAGAATACAGAAACTCTTTGATTTCTCTTTTTTGTTAGTGCACATTTTTTGTCTTAATTTGATTTGAACTTGTCTATTGTATTGTATTTTATTCTCTCCTAAAGTTATTTTATCGTGTCTTAAAAAAAACAAGCACCTTGGAGCAGCAAACCCAATTTCATTGTAATGCAAATTATAATGACAATAAAGGCGATTCTGATTCTGATTCTGAAAACGAAAGCCAAACAACAACGTGACTGCGTGTTGTCCGGTCGGCTGCCGAGTGACCATACTGTAGCCTTAAATGCTCAGAGGATGTGTGACTCGAGATTACTTGCTAAGATGTTGGTCCAACATCTCACAAAACATTTTTCAAACGGACAAATAGGGTTAATGCCAACATTCRAAACAAAAGACAGTCATTTTTGTGTTTGATAATGTTGCTTAGCTGTGATTTTGAATTGATTTACTCCAAAAGTTCAGCAGTTCTGAGGGTTTCTTACAGATTTATCCACTGGTGAGATATTTTAATAGTACAAACCAACACACACAGGCAAAAACTCCACTTTCACTTTTAGCAGCAGGTGATAACTGCACTCTACTGGTCACAATAATTTACTCTTCAAAAATCCTGACAGACAGAAATTCACATTTTCTACTGTTTTAACTCTGTTTCAGAGGTTCTGTGCAGGAGTCCTACCATGGTGGGGTAGAAAAAGATGAAAATAGCCGATCCCAGCAGCGCTGTGGGGCCCAGGAAGTACGCAGTATAAGAAAGACCAAGTAGCCCCACCAAAGGGCCCCCAGCCAGGAGACAGCCCACTGATGCTGCTTCATACAGCCGCTGGCCATCACTGCAGCACATGTTGATCAACTAGGAGGGAAACAGTGGTTTATACACAAATTAGACTTGAAAATCTCTAAAAAGATAAACAAGACAAATACCACCATAAAGACTACAGAAGCAATTTTACAAATTATTTTTATGTTTAATCATCCTCTTAATCCTTATGAAAACTCATTTATCTAGTAGGAAGTAATGAATAAGTTGAAATGAAATCCATCTTGTTTATCTTTGRGGATCATTTTCAGAGATGAGTCCACTTCTGGGTCAGGTCACCTACCTCTCCTGGACTGATGTCTTTGGTGCTCCGCAGGCGGAGGATCTTCTGGAAGGCAAAAGTAAGAGCCGCGCCTCGCAGGCGTGCAGACGTGCGGTAGTTGACGGCCCACATGAGCGCCAGGGACCAGGAGCGCATCAGTTCCATGAGGAAGATCCCGACTACCAGGGGCAAGCCGTACCACACAGAACTCTGTGARCTCTGGCAGTACTCCAGGAGAGCTCGAACCAGCAGCGCCTGAACGGTGAGGACCAGAACCAGGTGAAAACGAAGGCAACTCAACAAGAAAAGAACAGAGAGCAWATACATACAGTGGCATGGAGAAGATAAAGAAAATGAAGGAAACAAAGGGAGATTACAAGGAAACGTTACCTTTGAAAGGAAAAATACACTCAGTACCATTTTGTTAGCTAAAGTAGACAGGAAAGTCAGACCATTGCTTCACTGAGTAAAGTTTAAATCCAGTTAATGCTGTTAGATGTGGGCACATCGAATACCAAAGCTTCACAATAAACTGCTCAGAGAAAATGKAACAATGCAGCAAACTCAAAAATACAATCAAACTGGAACTTTTGGATTTAGAAATATGCACTTCTGAATATTTGCTGTGACACTTATCCAAGGGCATTTTGAAAAAAAAAATCAAAATGTTCTGCAGAATGCACTTGAGTATAAGAAAAGAACAAATTTGAGCTTTCCTTTCAAAGGCTTGAAAGCATCTTTATGTTTCCTTTTAAACATCCAGTCTGGCATGGAATGAGATGAAACGATCTGAAGCGAATGCACAAACAAGCAAGTGTTCGTACTCGAGGCCAAAATCAGCTGGACAAAAGAGAGAAGAGAAGATCTGAGCAGGACTCACGGGCCCAACGAAGCCTGCCACCATTGTCAGGAGCAGAGAGAAGATGGCCACCAGCATGCGGGTTTGGCAAAACCTCCAGAAGACCCTCGTCAGGGACGCCCCATCTCGCCCACGTCTCTTCAGCTCATCGCGCCACAAAGATTCAAGTCTGAAACCAAAAAAAAATGTGAAAAAGCTCAAAACATGACAAATAAAGACCTAACATCAAATCAGACCATTTCCTCTCCTTGTCAYATGGGTTCTGTGCAAAGTGCTCCTGTATTGCCAGTTATCAGTATGTAAAAGTTGGCCTTTATGAAGGGCAAAATTATAATAAATAAAAAGTATATTTTATGTATTCCTCCTAAATTATGTAAAAGCAGTTTATCAGACTGCCCAGAAGCACAATGAGAGGTATAAACAACCTGACAGGCAATCATTCTAATTAAAAAACCACTAGAGAAAAATTAAGGCAAGGCAGAGTGATAATAATGTAAAGGTGACCTCCAATATACAATCATGAATGATGCATCACATAATTAGGAYGAGAAAGGTAGCGAACATGTTAAAGACGTGCTAATGTACTTCTATTGCTGCATAATGCTTCTTCAAGTGGATAAATATCTTGTTGGCCAAATGCTTCCTGGCTAATGAGTCTATAACGCAACAGCAGAGCAGCTGCAGAAAGTAATTTAGGCCCAAAYGACTTTATTAAAAACGTATCAGAGATAGACAGAGCATTAAGCCAACTACACTCTCACATTGTCTGATAATTACTTCTTGGGAGTCAAATGGTGCTAAATTTAGGAAATTACAATTAAACAGCAGCCCAGAGCTGCACAGCCACATCTCCAATYGGTTCAAGTGGGAGAGAAAATACTGAAGCCATGCGCACAAATTTTTGTTTTAATTAACGAAATTAAAGTGCCCGTGACATCAAATTTTTGTGACAAATATGAACGCACTTTTGGAAAGATAACACGGATAACATATTGCAAAAGCAATTTTACACGACTGAGATGAACAGTTGTTGAGATGTTTGCATGTGAAGTAACAGGAAGTGATGTCAAAGGGGAATATCTGCATTTAAACAGAGCTTTGCTACAATGGCTAACAACACAGACAGCAGGGGAATTTTCTGATGTTTCTTTAGATCATTTTTGTCCCTATAAGACAGAKATGAAGAAAAGTCAGAGTACAAAAAGTATTGTTTTAATAAACAAGGACCAGGGAGTTTTCTTTCTTAAAGAGTTCCCCTTTGACGTCACTTCCTGTTTCACTTTAGATGAGCCAAGTTCAAAGGAAAATATGCCAGTTATGTGACAAAATGGGTTAAATCATGTGTTTTAGGCCAATTTTCCTAAATATGAAGAGCTTTTCTTTGACTTTTTGTATTTGAAGGATAGGCATGTCACAGGAACTTTGAAAAAATAAAAAGCATTGCATTGCTTTGACCATCCCAAATATCATTTTACAAGCTCCTTGATGCAACACTAGATCTTTGGAGTGTTAATAGGGCATGTGTAAATAAGAACAAAACAACAACAATTTGGGCTGAAAAGGAGGAAATATTTGCTTTTAAGCGGGGAATGAAATGTTCCTAACAGCCTCCAGCCAGATGGCAAACAGAGCTGATGTTTCAGGATTGTGTTGGCCAGAACATCGCGTTCGAGGCTCGCACCTCACCGAGCACCAACAAGTGTCAACTCTCCCAGGGTGCTTTTCCAATTTTCTGCTTTGCATCAGGGTTGCATAACCGTTCTTTGCAATGTGAGACGCGACATAAAGCCCCCCCTTGCCGTCTCCAGCATCCACCCATGACAGCGTGACAGCTTTGTGCTCCTTTTATTGGTTCTTTTTTTTCTGTTTGCTCTTTAACACACATAAAGCAGCAGCGGCAGCAATAAACCAGACCTCGAGCCACAATCTTTCAGCAGGATAAGTCCCTGACAGCCCACACAGTTGTCAGCAGACAGAAGACAACTTCCTCAAATAGTCACCCACTTCTGTACAGCCGAGTCATGGCACAGAGATGTGACAGAACATGACTAATGGAAAAACTATTGGTTTTCTTTTCAGAGAGTGAGCATCTAAATGGCTCTTAATAGGCTTATTGTAAGACCTGATAGTTCATTCAGTAAATTAAAGCGCTGCCTTTTCTTAAACTGTGATTTGGCAGGCCGACAGAGACAGTCAATGACAGCTAATTATAGTGAAGAGGACGCACTTGGTGCTACAGGTGGGGTGTGTGTGTGACATGTGACACACAAGTCAGGCAATGACTCTCGTTTTAAATCTCTAATCCGTTATTCTTAGACCGCCCGGACTGATCCCAGCTCAGTGTTCCTGTTTGCAAAGAGAGATGGGATGGTTTTTGTTTAGGCGTCACTGAACTGACTGAGCCACAGAAACTCACAAACAACACAACAAATGATGGAAATAAAATCTGAGCAAAGTTTCTCTCACTGCAAGCAAGTAAAGTTGTATCTTATCTCCTAAAGGTGACATATCACTAATTTAGGCTTTTTCATTTCTAGATTTTGGTTTCAAAAATTTAAAAGAAGTGAAAAGGAGCTTAAACTTTCTGTGACATGCACATCATTCAATTACAAAAAGTCAAAGAAAACATCTTTATATTTAAGAAACTTGTCATAATACCCATGATTTTACTCATTTTATCATTTAACTAGCATTTTTTCCCTTTGAACTTAGCTCAGCCAAAATGAAACAGGAAGTGACATCAAAGGGAAACTTTAAATAAAGTGACTCTCTGGTCTTTGTTTATTGAAATAATATTATTTGAACTCTGTTTCTTCTTCATATCTTTTTGATAGTGACTCAAAATAATCTAAAGAAACATCAAACTCTTCTCTACTGCCGGTGTTGTCGGCTGTTGTATCAATGCTATGTTCGTGCCGTCATCCCTCTTTGTCATCACTTCCTGTTACTTTAWGCAAATATCTCAACTGTTCCTCTCACATGATTTCTTTTTGCAATATATGATTGTTATCTTTCCAAAAAATGCATTCATTTTTTTTTACAAAAAGTTGATCAGGCACTTTAAARCAAATGTTTAGACACATTTTATATGTCTCCTTCTTTTGTTGTAGAGACCATTGTTTGTTTATWTTCTGCTTGGATTTTGTGGTGGGGACTGAGATGTTTGTTTCCCGTATCGAATAGAATCCATTCTTGCCTCAAACAGTGAAATGTTACCCGTGCCACCGGCTGAACCGTTAGCTCCAAGCACAATCAATACTCTCGCCCCCCACTTGCTCAACAGATGGAGAGGTGGGTCTGTTTTATAAGATTCTGCACTTCTTTTTTTCCTCTCCAAGCATGTCTTTGCTCATTGTGACAAAAAAGTTCCATTTTGACCGCATTAGTCTGCTGAAATTGATTTCAGAATGCATCAGGCCTTCTTGAAGGTCCTTTGCAATGGAGGACTTTGAATTGTAACGATCTTATGAGCAGTTCTGACCGCTGTGGAAATGGCTTCTTATATCCATCTTTGGCTGGATGGRAATTAACTTGTGCTGGGTTCACACGTCAAATTTTGTCCTTCCAACAATCTTAAGGAYGCTCTGATTCTGGTGATGGCTATAGTAAATCTTAGGAGATATTCCTGTCATGTGTGGTGTGTTAAGAGTGATCTAGTCGAGTCGGAAGGACGCCAGGACCGCTCCGATCTCAAATCCCTTGGCTCGACATCCCACTGTGTGTGGTGTTCCCCGAAGACAAACGAGCTCACAGCCTGTGAGTGTGACATGTAGCCAATCAGAAAGCGAGGTGACAGAAACAAGGACGGGAATTCAAAATTTAGAACACAAAACAACAGCCATGGAGCACCAGAAACTCTGGTGGACGTCCAACCCGTCTTTTTGTTTAGTTTTTTTCTCTGGTAAAAACAGTCCACAAACTATCGCCATTGCTTCTTCCTCGTCGGCCATGTTGATTTACTCTGAACTCACGTTTGATCTCGAGAGATCTCACAAGATTTCCTGTCTGACATATGAAAGATTGAGAGTGAAATCTGTTTGYGTGTTRTRTAGAGATGTGATTGATGTTCACGAACGATCCGAATCTTTTGAACGGCTATTTACAATGAACGAYAGGAGCTGAGTCGCACGCAGTAAAGAACCCTTTGTAGTCTTTTTTTTTAAATTCCTCATATAGTCTTTATTTTTTCATCCTTAAATTGCGCCCGATTTGCTTTTTCACTGAAAACAGGAARAGCGGTGGCGTACAGCAGCACAGGGGGGATGAAGGAGGGGGTTTCTGCTTGACAAAACACATGGTTCCACCTACGTAACGTGATGATATCATCACGCACGGCAACGTGATGATGCAACTCGTTCAAAATCGAAAGGCTCTTTCGAATGGCTGTATGAAACAAACTGCTCCTCAAGACCTGGATCCCTTCAAAGAGCCATTTGTCCCATCTTTATTGTGACTGTACACTGTAGGACCAAACCTGTTAAATCTATGATTTTTTATTCTTAWGTATGAGGCCTTTTGGTCTTTGAAAATCAGCCGACGCTTAAAAGCTTGACGTTATTTAACCAACTGAAAGCTGTTGGCCAAGATCTGACAAATCAGCAAATTTATAAATGAGATTATCGTCTCATCTCCCTTCAAACCGCAGTGCCTTGGGTATATATGTTCTACCTCATCACACTACAGCTCACTCTTTAAGATGCGAATCTCAGTGCTGCAAAGTTTCCTCACCTTTGACAGTTAACTGTGGAGGCTTCGTGACAGGACAGTCCCCACACGTCATCCATAGACAAGCTGGACTCCTTGTAGGCCTTCAGTGCCAGCGGAGAGAGCCAGTGCAGAGTCATAAATGAGAAGAGGCCGGCGTTATCGACTGGGTGCTGATGCCTGGAATAGAGCAAGGAGATGTGGGAAATGGGTGAGATGTCCAGAAGTGTGGAGACCCACACAGAGATGTTACGCTGCGGAAGAACCGCAGCGGTGGGGAGCTGAAAAATAAGCGGCGCTCTTTGTTGGCCAGAGTCAATAACAGGTGAGTCACACCTGCGGCGTTTGGAAAGTAGCTTGCACATTCTACACAAAAATCAGAGAGGAGTGTGGGGGGG